GTGGCTGGCGCCTTAGCTGGTTGAGCTATAGGCGCCGAGCCTCCTTCACAGATCTTTTTGTTCTCTGTAAAAATCATTCAGCACACTTTCAGAAGTCCAACTTCACATTCTCCATCCCCAGGAAACACTGCCGAAGAAGCACCACCCACAGCTAGTCTTTTGTTCTTTCACCATGGCTGCTTCTCCACATTTGGACATCTTGCCTGCTAAAACTATAATGTTGTACAGCCTTTGGTATGTGTTTCCTGTCCACCTACCACTTGAATCTCCTCAAAAGTAAAAACTATGTGGCTGGGTGCAGTGGCTAATGCCTAGTAATCCTAGCACTTTTGAGAGGCTGAGGCAGAAGGATCCCTGAAACCAGGAGTTCCCAGCTAGCCTTGGCAACATAGCAAGAATCCTTCTCTAAAAATTAAACAAATGAGCCAGGCACAGTGGTGCATGCTTGTAGTCCCAACTACTCAGAAGGCTGAGGCAAGGGGATCATTTGAGCCCAGGAGTTCAAGATTATAGTAAGCTATGATCATGCTACTGCGCTCCAGCCTCAGTGTCAGAGCAAGACCCTATCACCCAAATGAAATTTTTTTTAAATTAAAAAAATAAGAAATATGTCTTCTGTTTCTCTTATGCCTAATTATGTACACTGTAGGTATGGGGTTACCTTTGACTTTTGTTGACTGATTAATAAAGCCTTAAGGAAAAATATCACATGTTGTGAGAGTGTACGTATACCAACAGACTTTATAGTTTGGCATAATCATACATGTACTTGGATTTTGTTATTGTTCTGTTTTCAGTTTAATGTTCTCTTATTCTTTCATATTTTTAGATGCAGCCCGGCAGGCCACTCATGATCATGAGGTAATTAGCCATCTGTCTACTTATCATATATGTACTCTGTGTATTTATAATAATATTGCTGTTTGAAGTGCTATTTTTGTATGAATGGCAGAATATTTTCTACTTCATAATTCAGACTGAATGAGTTACTTTAGTTCAAGGCTTCTTAACAGATGGCAGATGCTTACATTGTATTCCTGTCCTTGAACTGTAGCCTCTAGCCCCAATCTTTTCCTATGGTCTAGGAATTTAATTGGCTTTAAATGCCAAAAATGGCTGGAATTTGGAATGAAGTATAGAAATGAGGGCCAGCTGAAAGCCATAACATGACCATAGTTTATCATCACCATGTACCTTAGTCTAACTCTCAAAAAGTTGTTATTTAAAGAATATAGCATTTGGTTAAAATCTACAGTGTCAATCCTCTCCTGATCCCTCATCTCACATGCATATGTTTGTATAGTGGCCTTTTCCTCCCATTTGGTTTTATGTTTCTATGTGTATATAGGATTTAGGCCTGTGTGTATTGGCTTTGCTTATAGAGAGCTTTAAATATATGAAAGCTGTGGTTCGTAAAAAGATAAATGGTCGTAAAAAGATAAAATCTGGTAATTTCATGCTTTAAAATACTCAGTGAGTCCTCATTCCTTACCACATCACATTCAAACTCAGCAGTCAGGTTCTTCTATAACTAAATCCTAACTCCTATTATCTCCTTATGTGTATATCATATACTTAAAATCTTTGCTACTCACTGTCTTCCAGGTGTCCTATTCTTCTCTGCTTCCTGCCTATGCTTGAATTATTCCTTTCATAAGAGTACTTCTTCTCCCTTATACTTTTTTTTCCACTTCCTCCATCATCCTATTTCTGCTTTTCAAAATTCTACTTATCAAATGACTATTTCAAGTTCTGATTCCTCCTTTAAACTTTTCTTGTTTCCTCCAACTTCCTTTAACCCTCATGGCTCTGTGTGCTTCTCTTATGCACTTGGCTGATCTGCCCAATGTTGAACTTATTCAGGTACTTCTGTGTGACAGCCAAAGAGTGTGAATCAACCCCATACCACCTAGGATGATGCTGTTCCATGGAGAAGGTATTCCATTAATTTTTTTTTTTTTTTTTTTTTGAGACAGAGTCTCATTCTGTTGCCCTAGGTAGAGTACTGTGGCATCAGAGCTAATAGCACCTAAACTCCTGGGTCCAAGCAATGCTCTTGCCCCAGCCTCCCAAGTAGCTGAGACTATAAGCATCTGCCACAACACCCGGCTGGTTTTTCTACTTTTAGTAGAGATGGGGTCTCACTCTTGCTCAGGCTGGTCTCCAAACTTCTGAGCTCAAGCAATCCTCCCACCTCACCCTCTCAAAGTACTAGGATTACACATGTGAGCCACCACTCCTGGCCCCATGAATAATTATTTTTATACAAGAATCCATTCAAAGTTGACTTGAAATAACAATGGTAATTTGAACAAAAAGAATTTTCCTAAAAAAAAGAAAATTCTGATTTACTCTTTTACATGTATTTGGTTTTGGACTAAATCAAGGAAATCATTTCTTCAAAATACTAACTTATTTATCTTATAGTTGAAGTTAGACCTCATTTGATGTTGGTGACCTTCAAAACAGAGAAGAGATTCAAATTCACAGATTAAATAGGTGTATTACCATCTACGAATTGTAAAGTGAGAAGCATAGTAAATATTAGTGTTTTATTCATTAGATAAATCCTATATAAATGTAGTAATATATGCATCTCTGTGCTATAATTTGGATAAAATATTATATATACTTTTTGCTTGAGAAATTGTGTATGCTTTCCATTTTAAATCATAACTGAATAACGTTTCAAGCTTTCCATAGTACCAGATACTTGTATAATTACTTCTTTCTCTCATCCTTTATCTGTGTACCCCATACACCAATATCATGAATGGTTACAAAAGAGAATTTGGACAGTAATTAGTAATATTAGATCTCACATTTTATAGTCAATCAGTCACTCATTTCATCACTATGGATTTTGCCAGGCAAGCTGTATCTAACATTTTTGTCTTCAAAAGTAAAGTTGATAGGCCCAATGCAGTGGGAGGCCAAGGTGCATGGATTGCCTGAGCTCAAAGGTTCGAGACCAGCTCCAGCAAGTGCAAGACCCTGTCTCTAAAAAATAGCTGGGCATCGTGACAGGCACCTGTAGTCCCAGCTACTTTGGAGGCTGAGACAAGAGAATTCACTTGAGCCCAAGAGTTTGAGATTGCTGTGAGCTGTAACACCACGACACTCGACCTAGGGCAACAAATTGAAACTCTGTCTCAAAAAAAATAATAAAAAATAAAAAAATAGAGAACCCTCAAAGAACTCAGTCTAGACCCCCCATTTGATCCTATAATCCCATTAGTGGGCATGTACCCAAAAGGAAAGAAAATCCTTTTATCATAAGGACACTTGTACAAGACTGTTTATTGCAGCTCAATTTACAATCGTCAAAATGTGGAAACAGCCTAAATGCCCACCAACCCAAGAATGGATTAACAAGCTGTTGTATATGTACACTATGGAATACTATTCAGCCATTAAAAAAATGGAGACTTTACAGCATTTGTATTAACCTGTATGGACGTGGAACACATTATTCTTAGTAAAACATCATAAGAATGGAGAAACATGAATCCTATGTACTCAATTTCGATATGAGGATAATTAATGACACAGTAGGGGTGGGGGAAGAGGAGAGCAGAGAGAGAAAGAAGAAGGGATGAGTGGGAAAATGAAGAGCAGAGAGAGGGAAGGAGCAAGGGGGTGGGGTCTTGGTGTGTGCCATACCTTTTGGGGGCAAGACACGATTGTAAGAGGGTCTTTACCTAACAAATGCAATCAATGTAACCTGGTTTCTTGTACTCTCAATGAACCCTCAACAATAAAAAATAAAAATAAAAAGTTGATAGTTGCAGTCAGTAAAGATATAATAGATTTAGTGAATCATAGAGGCCACTACTAATTTAAGAAATGAAGATTTTTATTAAAATACATACATCAGTGTGATAGGAATTTCCATAATTTTTGTAATTTATGAAAAGGAATGAATCTCCATGTGATTTTCCTGTTTCAAGATTCAGACCAGTGGCCATGTGTGGTGGCACACACTTGTAGTCCTAGCACTTTGGGAGGCCAAGTAGGGTGGACTGCTTGAGGACAGAAGTTTGAGACCAGCCTGAGCAAGAGCAAGACTCCATCTCTACAAAAAATAGAAAATTATCCAGGTGTGGTGGTGTACACCTGTAATCCCAGCCTACTTGAGAGGCTTAGACAGGGGAATTGCTTACGCCAGCAGTTTGAGCTGTGATGCATTCTAGCCTAAGCAATAGAGTGAGTCTCTGTCTCCCAAAAAATTAATAAAATAAATAAACATTTACACATGTTAAATAAAACAACAACAAAAAAGTAGTGGGAAGGTGAAGAGCCAGCAGGAGTTGCAGCAGTCTATAAGTCTGTCCGTATGCACACATCAGGATAAAGCTCTCAGAGTAACATTGTTGACCCAGTGTCCCTTGCTGTATCAGTGTGTATTTTTCCCTGAATAATATATTTACTAAATTAGGTAATTTCAGAACAACTTCAGGATAAAAGAATTGGTTTGAAAGCTTTAGAACTGTTTTTAAACTGTTATACACAATAATTTTCTTACATATAATCTCTTACTATAATAAGAGTTCAAAAAAATGGAAAGCACCAGAGGTGAAAAGCAGCTACAAAAGGAGCCCATGGAAAGGAGGAACAGAATCAGGCCTCAAAAGATGACCCAGGTTTTGCAGAGGTACCTCACCATAGGTAAAATGACTTGAGCATAAGTCTTGGTTAATAAAAGAACAAGTATCTTGCCAAGTGTCTAAACATCATAGATAAGAATAAAATAAGAAATGTGATAGAATAGTCTTCAATCTCATCTTAGAATACTGAGACCTCCGAGATCCTCTTAACTAACCACCTCATTTGGCCAGAGAAGAAAGTGATTGCCTAAGACATGAAAGAATTTACCCACAATCACTTACTAAATCAAGTTAGAGACAAAAGTGTGGCTGAAACCCAGTCCTTCTGTGTCACAATCTAGCATTCTTGGCAGCATAATGCCATGCTATGTTACATAGAATAAATGAAACAGTGTTGAAAGTTAAAACTGGCCTGGTTTCCATAGATGGCAGCAAAATTTGTTGCCAGTTAAGACAGAAATTATTTGGTTTATGTATAATACAGAAGCCTATTGTATTCCTAAATGGAATTTGAATCCCTAAGACACTGTTACCAGGGCAGGTACTCAAAAATACATATTAGAGCTAAAGAAATGCTGACCTGAAAGCCATTCTGCATAGCAGTGGGGCACTTCAATCTGGTACACACTATTAAGAGCGTTCCCCAAAGTAAAGAGCTCTTGAGAGAAGAATATCACACTCTGAAAATTTTGGCCCTGAGCCTAGAAAACAGTAAAATAGGTTCAGTTCAAAAAGGCCTCTGATCTCTTACCCTCCACTCAGTATATGGAATGAAAAACCAAAGTGAAGAGTATTCTTGCTCCTCTCAAATAAAAGCCAGCCCACTAGACCCAGGCTTCAGCTGTATTCCTCTCAAGAAAGCGTCTGCATCTCATGTGAGAACTAAGATAGAAACAATAATTTTGTTTCTCCTTTAATTTATGAGAAATGACAAAATGACTCTCAGCCTGAACAAATTAGACCCTTTCAATGAAGAGGTAATCAAATCCTTATGATTTTAATCCCTTGAGCGATCCTTGGAGCAGCTTAAGTATATCTGAGCCCCCAGGAGGATCCTCTCCATGCCGAGTAATGTACTCAGTAATGGAAGAGTGCTGATGGTTTTTATTACCACTCTTCTGTTAAGTAGAATTTCTCTGTTGCCTTTCAGAGACTGAACAGTTTCATTTAATTGCTTTAATGTTTCTTATTTTGCACTCTGAGAATCTGTACCAGGGGACAGTGTGTTAAGGCACCTATGTGGTGTCTCTGCCTTTACTTAATTAGTTTAGTTTGGACTACGCTGGCAGAGGAGAGAACAGAATTACCAGTCTGAAGAAAGTCAAGACCTCATAGAGGGTTCTTTGTACCATGGTAATGGGAGCCAGTCATCTCCACTTACCCACCTAACTGGCAGATAACTGGGACCTATAGCTAGGTAACTGATCTCATACAAGTATACAGTTAAGTAGGAGACTGAACAAGATAGGGTGATAAAGTCATTAAGACTTTATCCTAAGTCATTTGTGGACTTATGCATATATCTGTTGTGCCTTGTATATATTAGGATTGTATATCATAAAGTTTCTGTTTTCCTTCAGTAACCTAGTAAGAGAGTTAAACCATATGTTAAGTCGGCAGAGTTGAGGGAAAGCCATTGCTGTATCAGTGTGTATTTTTGTGTGAAAAATGTTTCTGAAATCCCTTCTGGGAACAGCCTTTCTTGCACATACATTAGTTCTCATTGAAATCCATAAGGAACTGGCTCACAGTAGAGTTTTAGCTCCTGATATTGGGGAATATTGTTAATTTTGTTGTTTATTTTTAAATTGTTCTAGGAAACTTTGCTTGCTTGCTTGCTTTAGGAGGGAAAAGATAGGGTGAAAATAAGAGCTTTAAAATTTTCCTCAGGTAAATACATAGCTTTCCAGACTTCCACTTTAAATGTCTTTTTGTTGTTGTTGTTGCAGTTTGGCCAGGGCTGGGTTCAAACCTGCCACCCTCGGTATATGGGGCTGGCGCCCTACTCACTGAGCCACAGGTGCCACTCTTTATTTTATTTATTTATTTATTTTTTTTGAGACAGACTCTCACTTTGTCACCTTCTGTAGAGTGAGTGCCCTGGCATCACAGCTCATAGGAACCTCAGACTCTTAGGCTAAAGCAATCCTCTTATCTCAGCCTCCCCAGTAGCTGGGACTATAGGCGCCCGCCACACGTCTGGCTATTTTTAGAGATGAGGTCTCACTCTGGCTCAGGCTGGTCTTGAACCTGTGAGCTCAGGCAATCCACTCGCCTTGGCCTCCTGGAGTGCCAGGATTACAGGTGTGAGCCACCACACCCAGCTATTTTTAAATGTCCTTCTTGATCACCTACCATTGGCAGGCAGTTCACATAGCCCAGCCCCCTTATAGGCCAAAACCAGTATGAAGACAGGAGCTAGGCTGTCAGAATTTCCTTATAGGCTATTGACTGCTTAGCTTTTCTACTGGGCACCAAGTTATTTTGTGTTCAAAGGTAAAACGCTAGTAATGACAAAAGTAGGAAAAATATATTCTATCTCTGACTTTACACGTTTTTATGGGAATGATTTCTAGGTATTTTGTTTACTGTTTCTTATGTTATAAAGGTTTTAGAATCTTCAGATTTCACCAGCAGTTTCTTTAGTTCTCACTTTGTGACATTCTTTTTAACATCTTATGTAAGATTTTCAGCACTGTGCCAAGATACTTGTAATTAATATTCATAATGCTTTCAACTTTAAATTCATTGTAGAAGCAACAGCCAAAGCATCTTGAATTATTAACTTTATTCTTAAGGATCATTGTGGAATATATTTTGCAGTGGTTTTGTGAGACTTCATTTTTAATGGCTTATTGATAAATTAATTTTAGGCTTTGTTATTTCCCATCTCACATAATCCTTAGCATTCTCATGTTTAGAGCCTCGTTATTTCTAATTTCTTGGTTTTATATGTTTTGTTTTTCCTATATCTGAAGAAAGTATAAAAGATCCACAAAGATAGGCTGCTGCTCATAAATAAATAATCAATGGAATATTATGATTTTTGCTCATGGTTGGCAATTTTTGCTTAAATTTCTTGTCCACTCTGCAAATTTAGATTTCATAATTCTGTCTAAGCATTTTACACGTATAACCAGCAAAAGTGACTAAAAAAATACTCTTTCTCAATTCCCACCTCCAATCCCTTTTACAACTTTATATTGTTGACTGTTCAAAACATAAAGCTAAGAAATGGCTTCAAATTCTCCATTAGGGAAATTTATATAGGTTTGTATTAAGGCTTCTCATTGCACAGCAGTTGCACACCTGAGAGAACTGAATCCTTAACCTGCATAAGCTTTATGAAACTTTGATTCCAGTGAAAAGGTGAATAACATTTCTCACAGCCTCACCTGGACTGATTCCTGCTCTCCCTACTATTTAAGGAAGATGTGGTCATTGTGACTTCAGGCGCCATGATTTAATTTAGCTTCTGTGTCAGAATAAACTATTTTGTTACTCTTGATTCACAGAAAGAAACAGAGGTAAAGGAACGATCTGTTTTTGACATCCCTATATTTACAGAAGAATTCCTGAACCACAGCAAAGGTGATTACTGAAGTTTCTTTTCATGTTCCTTAGGTTTCTGCCAGGGGATTTAGTTCTTAATTCACTGCTCAAAAGCAATATTGATACCCTACATTACAACTGGCCTAGAAGAATAACTGCTTATATTTCTCTCTGTAGTAAAAGTACCTACTCAAGGACCAGTCAAGAGAGGCTAGGCTAGTGTTATGAAAGCTTCTATGACCTCTGGATCAAAGAACATAAATGTAAACCACTAATTCATTTGCTTTCAGACTCTTAGCCTGGAAACTTTTGTACAAATGAAAGCTTACATGGGGGTGCAAAACATGAAATAAGTAAGAGCAAAGCTGATCCTGTTTTTGTAAAGATGGGTACCAACATCTGTGCTTGGCTGTTGTCCCAGGATCCTCCTAGGAAACCCCTCAGGCTTTTCACTATACAATTTTAAAAAGCAAAACTAAAAAACAAAACAAAGAAAACCACTAGGAATTGCAACTGCTTGTTGCAATCTTATGTATAGAATATGACTAACTTTAAGAATTAAAGCAGCTCTGGGGAGCCAGGCGTTTCATTGCTGAAATTGCTATCTGGAATGCTATAATGGGAATAGGGGGATGAGGTCGAGTTGCTAAACTGGAAGCAGCTGAACAGATGTCCCTAGAAGAGTCACTGGGACCCTCAGGACTCCATCTAGTCCTGCTGTGTGTTCCTTGGCATGTGCGTTCTCAGCTCGTGAGGCAGAGCTCCGCCAGCTCCGCAAGTCCAACATGGAGTTTGAGGAGAGGAACGCAGCCCTGCAGAAGCACGTGGAGAGCATGCGGACCGCGGTGGAGAAGCTGGAGGTGGACGTGATCCAGGAGCGGAGCCGCAACACTGTCCTGCAGCAGCACTTGGAGACCCTGCGGCAGGTGCTGGCCAGCAGCTTCGCCGGCATGCCCCTGCCTGGTAACGCATCCTGGCACTTCCTGGGGGAGGCCAGGGTGTCTTGGGGAGAGAGGTGTGCTGTTCACAGAGCGGGGGTGATCTTCTCCTGAGGAAAATTATTGAAATAAGTGGTGTTTCCTCCTCAGGATTTTCTGTAGGTCACAGAATGTCAATATTGGCTAAAATCATCCAAAATCTCAGGTTCTCTGATCACTTAAATTTTTGTCTACTTACATTTTAATCTGATCTATTTTCCTTTCTGTTAACCTTGATTTGATATTCAGAACAGTGGAAACTGAGTAAAAAATCTTTAGGAGAGCACTTTTACTTATGTATGTTTGCTTGCTTTGTTTTTGTTTTAATGGGAAGGAAGAGAAAATAAACACTAGTATTTCTTATATATTCTCAGTTTGAGGATAGTCAACAGTAGAAAACTGGGAGAACTCTCACCTTCTGTTATATGCAGCTATTCATGTATTCTGTACAGCTAGTATTGAGCCCATCTGTTTATTAAGAATATGGACTTATTAAGAATATTAAGAATGTGGATTAACTTCATTTTTTGAGGCCTAAAAGCCTTTGTATCTTATTTATAGAGTAGGCCACATTAGAATCACAATTCTTTTGCTGGGTATTCCATTTAACTGTTTTATAGTTAAACTGAATGGGGAGGATTTTCTTAACTTTTTTTTTTTCTTAGAGACTGTCACCTGGGTAGACTGCTGTGGTGTTATAGCTCATAGCAACCTCAAACTCCTGGGCTCAAGTGATCCCCTTGCCTCAGCCTCCCAAGTAGGCTCCTGCCATGATACCTAGCTAGTTTTTCTGTTTTCAGTAAAGACGGATTTCACTCTTGCTCAGGTTGGTCTTGAACTCCTGAGGTCAAGCCATCCACCCACCTTGGCCTCCCAGAATACTAGGATTACAGATATCAACCACTGCGACCAGTTGATTTTCTTACTCTTTCTCGTCTTATCTCCCTTCAGGAAGTGGAGAGACACCTACAGTGGACACCATTGACTCATATATGAACAGACTGCACAGTATTATTTTAGCTAACCCCCAAGACAATGAAAACTTCATAGCTACAGTTCGAGAAGTTGTGAACAGGCTTGATCGTTAGTGAATGGTGAGTGCTTACTGAAAGTACATCATTCAAAATAAGATGTCATCAAACTGTATCAATACTACTAAAGCTCTGGAATTATAATACATTGAATGAATGAGTTGGGGACTTGATTAAGATTGTGTTGCATGGCTGCTAAATATAGTAAATAATGTTAGAAAACAGAATAACTGTAGTCCCAGCTACTCCGGAGGCTAAAGTAGCAGAATCACCTGAGCCCAGGAATTTGGTCTAGCCTGGGCAATGTAGTGAGATCCTGTCAGTAAAAATGGAAGGAAGGAAGGGAGGGAGGAAAGCAAAGGAAAGAAGGAGAGACAGTTTTTCCTATGCATACATGCTTTAGAATGGTTTAATGGAAAAAGCATGATTTCTTTGATTCAACTTTAGTTCTAGCTTTGTCACTTATTTAAGGCTCTCTTCTTGAGTATTAGGTTCCCAAGGATTTTGAAGATTTTTTTAATTTTAGAGGAAATCACCCCCAAAACGGTACTCAGAACAAAATAAATATCACTTGATTGTTAATCTTCTTTTTCCCTTGAAAATACTAATGATAATTTAGAAGTAGTCAGCAAGGCATTGTATATATATGATCCCATATATGTGGTAAGTAGAAAGCATTTTCATTTACCACTTGGTAGCAGAGTGACCCTTGTATGTTAAATTGATGTGGACTGACCTAACAGTAAAATAGTTAATGCCTGGTTTTAATAGTTAAATAAATACTGACCTAGTTAAATACTGACCTAACAGTAAAATAGTTAATGCCCTGGTTTGTTTAAAAACAAACTTTCAAGCAAAAGATGAGAGAGAAAATAAGCTTTTAAAAAATATATTTAACAAATGTGTGATAGTATGTGTTATATCCTTTTAGAGGGGGAAAACATACATTTCTAGAAGGGATCTACCCTTGCAGACTTTTTGGTATTAATGGTCATTTATCAGATACCATTTCTTAAATGAAATTTTTATTTGTTCACTCAAATTCCTAGAGATAGGATGCCTTTTTAGTATGCTGTCCACAAAATTGGCAGTTCTTTGGTCTATCAATTAAATTATTCCATACCTATAGACATATAAACTGTGTGGGAATGTTAGGATTGGACCATAAAATGAGCTGGCCACATGTGCATACTAAAGCAAAAGTCAACAGCAGAATATGTTCCTTAGAATGGCTGGTCACGGATTCAAATCTTTATTTGTCCTATAGGTACAGGCGCGCACTCATGTACATAATTCATATTCTGGCTCAGTTTGGACTTTGAGTAACATGTATCAGGATAAATAAAATCCATGATTCTTTAATGAGGCAACATCTGCTAGCAGAGACAAAGGCAGAAGTTTTTATCCTTCTTGCTCATGCCCTTGGCGGGTAACTGTACAAGGCAATTTATTATATTTTAGCCTCAGCCATGCTCTAATGGGGGAAGGATTACTGTCCTTCTAGTGAGTAGCCAGATGGAACGGACTGTGCTTCTAAGAGATGGCTGGACTCCCTGCAGAATAAAGAAGTGGCATTACTGCTGCTGCTTATGAAGGGAACAGCTTGTAAATCTAGGCCTGGGATTTTCAGGAGCTCATCATCCTTCTCGTTTTCACACAGTGTTTTCAATTAGCACTCTTGCAGGCTTGAAGAGAGTGCTGGGAAAATGGTGTGGAGGATTGTGAAAGAAAACAGTAATTGATAACATGGTATCTCCTCACACAGGTATAGGGCAGTTAATTCAAGTATTGAGCCAAGAGTGGTTTTCCATTTTGAGCATTTTGCCAATAAGACTCTTATAAAGCTTTATCCATGTTAATGATGTAAACTGTAATATCTGCTCTGTGAAGTGTCTTTGAAAACCAAATATTACCGTCATCCTTGATTTTAACCTGCAGACATTTTGCCTGTGAAAATGTGAACTCTTATATTACTACAGATTCTTACAATCTAGCCACGCAAATATAACTAAGAATAGAGAGTTCTCTATACCCCCCAAACTGTCAAATAAAACAATTACAAAGGCTGTGATTAATACTATGTTGGCTTCATTATACAGATATGTACAGACAGCTAGGCCTGATGTCCCCAGCACTCGTGGTACAATAAATTACTCTGACATGAGTTTGGCAAAGGTTTCATCTATTGTCAGGAGCCAATGAGTGAAGGGAAACTAATGGTTCACAAGCATAGAGGAATATATTAAAGCTGGAAGGGGCCTTTACAAATCTAAAATTTTTATATATGAAGAAGCTAAATCCAAGGAGGTAAACCTCTTGCCTAAAAATGCCTCTTTTTTTTTTTTTTCATCACCCTGGGTAGAGTGCCATGGTGTCACAGTTCACAGCAACCTCAAACTCTTAAACAATTGTTAAACAATTGTTTTGCCTCAGCCTCCCAAGTAGCTGGGACTAAAGGTGCCCTCCACAACACCTGGCTATTTTTTTGTTTTTAGAGATGAAGTCTTGCTCTGGCTCAGTCTGGTCTCAAACTGGTGAGCTCAGGCAATCCACTGGCCTTGGCCTCCCAGAGTGCTAGGATTGCAGGCATGAGCCACTACACTGGCCTTTTCTAAAACATTTCTCTACAGAGGCATGGCAATGGTGGAAGGGTTGGAGGTTGGAGGAGGGGGAAAGCACTAAAAATATCTTGAAATAGAGCATTAACATAAATAGGAAATAAACAGAAAAAAATTACCATTCAGTAATTATAATGTTACCAAATTTAAAAATTATTTTTATCGGCTTGGCACCTGTGGCTGAAGTGGCTAAGGCACCAGCCACATACACCTAAGGTGGCGGGTTCGAATCCAGCCCGGGCC